TAAAGGAGGTTAAAATTTAAAAAAATTATAATAAATTTTTTTTTAAATTAAATTTTTTTTTTTTTTACTATAAAATTATTGCATTAATATTTGTTCGTTAATAAAACCAATATAATGTACCAAAAATGTTATTATATCACTATAACTAAGCCATTTATGGGCACTGAATGGTGTGGTAGAGGCCTGTAGGCACCCACGCCAGTACCGCTTTTCTGCCGCATAAGTGCATTTTTTACGGAACTACTTAAACATTTGTAAAAAATAATCAGCGTTTCAGAAAGAGAAATATATTCTCCAGATGGTTTATTTCAGCACGTTTTGCGTTATTGTAGGCCGTTTAATTACAAACGACGCTTGATTTGTAACTTGAAAATTTTTTTGTTAAAAAAATTGACTTTACTGGTGTTTTTCATAGCATTAGACAATTATTTTTTAATATTTCTTCATGTTTTATTATTCTATAACTATTCAGCTTTAATAAAAGACCAACTATGAGGAAATTAAGCTTAATGCTGATTCTCAGTGACCAAAAAACTAACTAAAGTCAAAGTCGTCAATCCGCCATCTTTGGACGCCATTTTGGGGCAGTGCGTTCACTTTTTTTTGTGGGAACATTGGCTTTTTTTTAATAAATTGTTACAAGGAACACAACGATATGCAATTTATAGGGATGTGGGGGGGGTGCACGGTAAGGGGGTCTGGCCCACCGTGTATATTATCCTGGCATGTCGCCACTCCTGCAGTGGAATATCTTTTTCATGTAGAATAACAAGAGTTGCCTCTATTAAATTTTTCCTGCCAGAATATCACTTGTTGCGAGGCACCAGATTGTGGAGGTACTCATTATACCATATCTTCTAAAAATTACAAAGAGTCTTAGAAATTATCTCTCAAAGGAAACAGAGGCGAGTCTTCTTGTTCTGGTCTGGCTAGGAGGGGTGACCAATAAGAAAGTGCCCTGGGGTGAGTTGATCAAGGTTATCCGTAGGCTGACTGCTAATATTACAAATAGGATGGGAATTGAGAGCTGCTTCGACTCGTACCAGACGTCTATAAAATTCCTCATATGTTAACGTATGATTCTGGAGAACGACAAGGTGTCTCCCAAATACCACCAAAATGAGGAGATGCTCAAGGATTAAAAGTCCACTTTATACCCGTCCTACTTAAATGGTTAGAAACGGGTTCGATTTCTCCCTTAACAAATTGATAAAGCTGCTTCAACTTCTTGGATGCTCCAACTTTGTTCCACAGCCACTATGAATGTGTGAAAGCAAACCACGCCTGGCAATAAATCTTTCTAATGTGTCAATAAATGAAGGAGTGGACAGGCACGCCACAAGTTCTAGATGGATGGCCTTGGTATACATCCATAAAAAGAGAGCTAACCAACATTTCGACTTAGGAGCATTTCGCTAACTGGAAATCTTCATAACGAAGGGACCGCCATAGTCTATTTCAACTTGTTGAAAGGATCGACCCTCGTTCACCCTGAAATACGGTAAGTCACTCATTTTCGGAACCTGTGGTTTCTCATTATATTTGTGGCATGTAACGCATTTATAAATCCGGCTTCTATTCGATTGGACCAACAGTAGAGTTGCCAAAAATCGGTCTTGGTCTTGCAAAGTGCAAGGCCGCCTAACTGTTGCAAGACCGAGACCAGGACTGGTAAAAAAAAATCAATTTTTTAAATAAAAATTAAGGCAAAATAGTTACTAAATACTTGACAATCTTAGTTACTATATGTAATAATTGGTATAACCAATGTAATTTTGCATCTAACTCTTCTAATTTTTCCCTCGGGCATAGTTAGGTTGTAGGCTCCTATCTAAAAAATTACAGTAATATCTCTATAGTAATAAGCTAATAAGTAACTGCGAGACTCTTGCGCAAGACCAAGACCATGACCAAGATTGAGTTTGCAAGACCAAGACTCGTATCGGCCTCGCATTTTGGCAACACTAACCAGCAGGGGCCCACCATGCAAGAAATACCAGTGGTAATGGTCACACAAAAGGACTGCCAAATGTGAATCCTTAAGTATCAGTAGAGGGATCTTACTTTTTTCATAAATTGTGGAATACTTCAATCTACCTCCCAGCCTGAGAGCTCCGTCCTTATTCAAAAATGGTGTGAGCCTGTTTAAGGAACCATTATATGGTTTGCTAATGTTAAGGCCATCAATTAATTCAGTGAAGAATTTCCTCTGAACGAACCTGACAAAAATCATCAAAGAAACTTTAAGCTCGTCAGCAGTCAAGGCTTCAGCAGCTAAAACACCGTACTCCCGATCTCGGCAATATTTAATAAATTTTAAAATAAAAGCAAAAACCCTTTGCAGCTTTAAAAGGCATGAGTATTTTTCTGGAAAATCAACAAATCATTAGGTTCTTTAGCCGCTAACAGAGATATTGTTTTTACTTCAGGCAGAACGGATATGGTTCAATATGGTAAATAGGCCAGTCAGAAGGAGGTAACGAAATAAATGCCGGGCCATTCCAATAAAACCCATGGTATCTGGTGTGGTGTGAGGCCTATCGATAAACAATCGGTTGGATTCTGTTTTGTAGGAATATAGTGCCAACAACTGGGTTCGGCAACTTCTAAAATCTGTACTACGCAATTGGCAACATAAATCTTAAGTTTATGAGGCGGTGTCTGTAACCAACAGAGTACTTTTCGAGAATCCAAAAAAAATATACTTCATTAATTCGCAAACGACTTTTAACTTTGCCAGTGCAAGTTGTCTGGAGGCAAGAAGAACAGCGTTTAATTCCAAATAAGGCACTGATTGAACTTTAAGTGGGGCCACCTTACTTTTTGCCCTTAACAAATGAATTTTGGTAGCTTCTCCTGGGCACTCAACTCTCAGATAGATCACACACCCGTAATATTTTTCAGAAGCGTCTAAAAAGGCGATTAGCTGCATGGACGATGCTGGCGGAAAATACAACGAGGAGGAAAATACAAACATTTCTTAAGCTCGGAAATTCTTCAAGGAAAACCTTCCACAATGCAGACACACTATAGGGCAACTCGTTATCCCAATCAATCTTAAGCAGCCACAAACGCTGCGATATATATTTAACAGAAAAGATTACCGGACTGATATATCCATTTAGAAATAGAATAGGAAATTAAACTTTATTCTGGGACTAAGTCCCTTTAGAATAACAATGATGAGTTAATACAAAGTAAAATACAAATCTGACCAAAAACTAACTTCTAAAAATTTTAATATTATATACATTATTTAAAAAGTATGTAATCAGTAAAAAATAAAAAATAAAATATATATACAAATGAACATAAAATCTTCTCAAAATTACTTAATTGTGATGAAAAAAAAAAAGAAGAGAAATTACATATTTATATATACGTAACTACACAATTTATAAACAATAGGCTATCTAATAGAAAACTAACTTAATATAAAATGTAATAATATCTACAGTGATTTATATAATAATATGCAGACACTAAGATAAAATAAAATCTTAGGATTACTTGTGGTGTAATGGAAAAAAAAAATAAATAAAAGGAACTATTTACACGTACATTCTCATATTGGCACACAGAAAGACAAAAATATAAAATATAAATATATATACCCGAAAGAAAAAGCACAACCTGAGGAGAAGAGAAAAAATATATATTAAAAATAATATTCAAAACAGGTGACAAAAATCATTGCTGTTTTATGGTAAAACTTAAACAGTGGCACCACCATTTACTTCACGCAAATTCAGTTCATAAAATGAAATTTATGGTGGTTTATCTTCTGTTTGGGATGTAAGGAGATATTGGAAAAGGAGGTATTTGAAAGTTGACAGGGAAGAGGCATGACGGATGTTATGTGGCAAAGAATTCCAGTAGGAGACGGAGCGGGCTAAGAAGGAACGTTCATAGGTTTTTGCCCTGTGGAATGGAATATAGAGGTAAAAAACACGGGATCTCGTTTTTATTGAGTGGACTAAGGGTTTAGGCTGGAGGAGACAACAGATATAGGAAGGGTGCTGGGAGTTGATCGTTTGGTATAAGAAATTTCCAAGGAAGTATAGGCGGCGGGAAGAGGGGAAGAGCCACTTAGACTCGGCATATAGGTGGGACACATGAGACCATCTCGAAGTGCCGAAGACGAATCTTAAAAAACAGTTCATGATTCTCTTCAGTCTGTCCTCAAGCTCCAACGAGAGACCACCGTATACCACACAGCCATAGTCAAAGTAGGGGAAAATCAATGAGGAAACGAGCCATTTATATCGAAGATTGTGGCAATAAAGGATAGAATACCTCGCTTTGTAAAGATAGGCTCACTTTCTTGTATTAAATACCTAAACTGGTCGATATTAGATTCCAAAACCAACCCGAAACCTTGACAGTCGAGGAACCTCCATCCAGGACAACGGAACTCCTCGACTATCCTTGGGTAGAACAGGAAGTATTTTTTCGGAATTGCTGAAGAACATTCTGAGTTCAAACACACTTGCTCCAAATAAGGCCATCAACTCATTATACAGTTCCAAAGCCTCATCACTATTGCAAGCACCAATGATTACGTTGTCTACATAAATCTGGTCATGACACTGGGCAGCTATAGGAAAATTGTGGCCTTCTTTCCGAAATAATTTTTTTATAAACCAGACTCAGAACCTATATTAAAGCATGTAAAAGATATCCGAACATGTACTTCAAAGCATTCCATCAAGAAGTTTCTACAAAAAAATAAATGCCTCAACAGTTCGCAAGTCACCACTCGGGAGGCCAAAAACAAAAAAGATAGCTATAAAAACTAGAAAGCAATAGCACAAGATTGTCAGAGGGAGAGGAGATTGGTTGAGGCAGCCAAATATCAAATAGGTATATATAGACACCAGCAAAAAACTTATAAGCTCTGATGTAAATCGTCACAAAGCACTAATTAATTGATCAAGCTCGGATTAGAGAAAACAACAGTAAAAGGATATAAATATGCAAAACTGTTACAGAACACTTACCAGTACTTTAGCAGATTTCATCATTGTATATCCATCACAGCCTTGTTTTAGGTAAGATTTGGTTGCGACACGATACCTTTAACAAGACAAATTTAAACTTATTTAAGGCCATTCCATCGTAAAGAGCTTTATTATCATCTAAGTGACAACCATAAATTAAATAACAAAGTTCATTGGATCCTCAAAAATCAAATCAGTTTCATTCTTCGATTCATACTCAAATTATTTGATTTTATGTTAAAAGTTATAAAAAGTACAAACGCCGGCCGGCACTTGGGATATAGTGGTGAGGAAAACGCCATGAAATATAGTAGCCGTCATCAACTTTTTACCAGTAATAAAATATAATTATTACTTGTATGATTTATCAATTATTTTTTGTGAGTTATTTTTAAGTTTTATTTTTAAGAATTATTTTTGTGAAACATTGTGAAGCCAGAGAAAACCTACCTTAATAAAATATTAGGGCGAGGGGAGGGCAAGTTTCTAGCCCTTTTCCTCGGCAACTCGGTGATGGCACCTATGTATCCCAGGATATGTACTGAATTCAACAGGCAATAATTAAATGACTAACAATAAAATAGATAATAATAACTGGGTGGGGGACCGCCCTCCAAGAAAATGCACGCCAGTTTGAGGGCTGATCAAGAAAATATTGAATGACTTGTATATAAAACAAAATGTATAATACTAAGCCGAAAAATCGCGTGAATAGCACACCATTATTGAAAGTAGACGGAAATATATCCTTTTCGCAATAACATCGATAAAGAACCAAGTAATAGAGATAGATGCGAGAATAGCTATTTTATCTCTTTCAAGGGCACTTAAAACACAAAAAATCTATATAAATCAGATATTAATGTTATATGATGTTGTAAATTTAGTTCTTATATACGGCTACAAGATCTTGGCTTTCACCTGCATCCTCCTAAAAACCAGAATGGAGAGATTTTTAAAAAAAGACCACCGCACGATAACAGGAGCGATCTGGAATCTGCTGGAAACTGATTAATCAATATTATTGTATCAAGTCCAAGAGTGGTTAGGATGGTTTGGTCTCGATGTATCTCAATAGAGAGTCTAGTGGACCGCGAAGCACTCCATCAGGACGCCTTTGTACAACAATCAACGTGAAAGTAGTTTATAAGATACCAAGTGGATGATAGAATAGACAGAACCACCAAAAAACATTTACTGAACCAGGTGGGGATAGGACTCATATAATTCCAAACCGGATCCCCTGGGACCTCGCCTTAATTTTCTGTGATAAACGAGCACGGAACAATAGCACCCGAAATTTCATGTCACAACTTCTATATCTTGTAACATAAAATGCATGGAACTATTTATTACATTAATGAACCAAACCAATAAAAAAATTCTGCAAATAAATACTTAAATATAGGAACATTTAACAAACAAAGCTAACTTAGTCACTGGTTGAAGATACTGATCTCCGACTTTAATGAAATCAGTCGCAACTCTTTTACCAGATTCAAGGCTAGGATCAAATGCAAATGATATGCCCGACACTTGAGGAAATCTTCCTTCTAAACGAGGGTAGCAGGAAACTCCATTCTCTAAAGCTTCAATAACTTCATTACCTGAAATTAGTACAAATTTTGAACATAAATAAATTTAGTTATTTATAGACAGTAAGTTGTAAATAACAGGCAGAAAACGTTAAGGTCTTCAGAACCCGATGTAATTCTAATATTATAATAAATAGTATAAATTTGGTCAATGACAGTATTAATTTTTTTTTAACATTCTCACCATCACCAGACAAACATTTTCATAGATAACAATTGAAATAATGAAAACAAAATTTTCAATGAATAAGATACAACATGGAGACCATGGTGGTCGAGTGTGTAGAGGCAGTACTTTGGAGGCAGGATTATAGAGACAGAAACTATACCATTTAGAATCAGCCCCGGGTTTAGTTTTATCTTTTGCCCAACTCAGTAGTAATTTGTAGGATAGCTCATCTTATCTTCCCTAGTTGGCTTACATCAATATATTAAACAGAAACCAGCAACCGATATGAAATGCATTAATAATTAGAGCTGCTGTCATGTATAATTAATTAATAAAAATACTTTTAGAACAAACGTAGGTGTGCTTTATTATTTATTACAAAATATACCATCTGTCTTGTCTTTATCTAATTAACATGTGTAATCGATTATATTATAATTTATAAATAGAGGTTACAGTCTTAATTTGTAGGATAGCTCATCTTATATTCCCTAGTTGGCTTACATCAATATATTAAACAGAAATCAGCAACCGATATGAAATGCATTAATAATTAGAGCTGCTGTAAGAGTATCTGAATATATAAATTTAGTTTGTCAAGGAAAAAAATAGCATCTACATTACAGCTATCATGTCGTGCGTCACGTCCCGATCTGGACGAGCGCGTGTCTATTTCACAGATTTATTATCCATTTCATTTTCCCTTATTCCGACGTGTCTAGAAATTAAATGAATTTTGACATTCCTACTATGGCTAATACGTTGTGGCCATCTATACGTAGCCACTCTAATACTAGGTAGCCATCAGGGGTTGGCATATAAGACTATAAAACCGACTTGCCTACCTAGTTCCACTCACCAGTACTAGTACCACTGAATGTGATTTATTACTAGGTATAGATGCCATCAAGAAATTTAAATTACTACAAGATGAGAATCTAAGAATTTTGCAACGTACCAATTGTAATATGTATAATTAATTAATAAAAATACCTTTAGAACAAACGTAGTTGTGCTTTATTATTTATTACAAAATATACCATCTGTCTTGTCTTTATCTAATTAACATGTGTAATCGATTATATTATAATTTATAAATAGAGGTTACAGTCTTATACTACACCCTTCCCTTAATCCTCACAAAGTCTTTTCGGTGGCGCACCAGGCGGCCCGATCTGGTGCGCATACCTTCACTAGTTGGAGATGCCTGCTGAGCTTGATCATTGGAAATTGACAGTCCTGTTAACAGCAGGGAAGAACCATTCTGTGGGTGAAGTGGAGACTGTCTCTGTTCCTCCTGAAATAAAGCATTAGAGGGTTGGGGTAGAGGATCAGAATCAGAATCAGTTGGGTTGAGTAGAGGATCAGTATTAGGTGTGGTGAGGCGTCTTAAGTGGGATGAGTTTCTTCTATATTCGTTGTCATATTGGTCTCTGACCAAGTATGATCTTGGTTCAGGGAGAACCTTTGTAATAGATCCTTCTTTCCATTGATCCTTCCATTTAACATAAACTGGTTGTCCCATCTTGAACTCCTCTGATTGACGAGAAGTTGAGTCATAATATTTTTTACTTTTGAATTTTAGAAGCTCCATTCTTTGGCGCACAGCATCGTCTGGTGTTTTGGGAATAAGAAGATCAATGCTTGCTGGCGCCCTGGTTCGCAGTCTTCGACCCATCAACAGTTGGCTTGGAGAATACTGGAGCCCAGAAAGGGGAGTTGTTCGGTATTCTAGAATGGCTTCATAAATGTCTCCTCCTGAATAAGAGACTTTCTTTATCATTTTCTTCGCGACACCTATCCCTTTCTCCGAGAGACCATTAGATCTAGGGTAGTGAGGACTAGATGTACAAATTTTAAATCCCCAATGTTTGACAAAAGCTGCCATTTCTGCACTACTGAATGGGTTGTTATCACAACGTGCAATTTCAGGCGTGCCATGATTACTAAAAAGAATTTTTAGTTTTTTGATAATTTCAGTGGATGTTTTATTCTTGAGCGGTATAATATCCAACCATCTTGAGTAGTAATCTTCTACAGCCAGAAAAATTTTCGAATTACACTCGCCTATGTCCATACCAATAACTTGAAACGGAAATTTAGGAATTTCAGATGTTATGAGAGGTTCTTAAGGTTTATTGTTTTGGAAGGTTTGACACGTAGAACATGAATTTTTGAAGTTTGTAATGTATTCGGACATGTTTGGCCAATACATAAGGCTCTTAATACGGGAAACGGTTTTGTTTATTCCAAGATGAGCTTTAGAATGAATTTGGTTTACGAAGTGACGTCGGAGACTCGGTGGTATAATAATTCTATCATTATAAAATAAAATTCCTTTATTTTCTGAAAGTTCGTCTCGGAGCCCATAAAAAACCTTTATTTCACATTCCAAACAATTTTTATGAACTCCTTCCCAAGCATTCCTGATACAATTTCTAAGTTCACTGAAATCATCCCTGGTGGCTTCTTGCAAGATTTTAATAGCTTCAGTTGCATTCTTTGGAGTCTTGAAGAATTTTTATACAGCTCCTTATTGAGCACTGCTAACAACGGTTTATGATCCGTGAAAATCTCAACATTATTATTACCGTAAATAAAGTGGTGAAATCTATTGACCGAGAAGCATAAGCTAAGCATCTTCTTCTCTATCTGACTGTAATTCTTTTCTGAGTCATTAAGACTTCTTGATGCAAATACGACTGGTTGCCCGTTTTGGAGTAAACAGCTTCCAAGCCCATCCTTACTGGCATCACATTGGATCTCAATTTTAAGTGACGGATCAAACAGTTTGAGAGTGGGCGCATTACAAACTAAAGATTTTATAATAGAGAAAGCTTGCTTCTGTGAATCAGACCATTGCCACTGAGCACTCTTTTTCAATAATTCTCTAAGAGGGGCGGTGTCTTGTGAATAGGCTGGAATAAATTTGTTCAAAAAATTTATTGCACCTAAAAATCTTTGAATTTCCTTCGGAGACTGAGGTTCTTTAATATTAGAAATGGCTCTTACCTTGAGAGGATCCGGTTTGATTCCATCTGCTCCAAATACTAGTCCCAAATATTTAACTTCATTTAATTTAAACTGGAGTTTCTTGCTATTAAATTTAATGTTGGACTGTCTGGCCCTTTTTATAACCTTTTCCAAACTTTTAGCATGTTCAATTTCTGTTCTGCCCGAAACTATTATGTTATCGAACATTATTTGCACTCCCTCTATGTCTCCAAATATTTTTGTATTTTCCCTTTGAAATATCTCCGGAATATTAGACAAACCGTAGGGCACTCTTAGAAATCGATATCGACCAAATGGGGTATTCATAGTGCATAAACGACTCGAATTCTCATCTAGAGGAAACTGATGGAACCCTTCCTTCATATCGAGCACAGTAAACCATTTTTATCCACCAAGGTTAGCAGTTAGTTCTTCTTGAGTAGGTATGCTATAATGTTCCCTTTTTATGTATTTATTCGATGGAATGGGATTTAAACACAGCCGAATAGATCCATCTTTCTTTTCAACTACCACTATGTCATGAACCCAATCTGTAGGCTCTTCTACTGGTGTTATTACTCCTAAGTCCACTAACCTATTGATTTCTTTTTTAAGTTTAGATTTGAGAGAGGCTGGAAGTCTCCTCGCTGGCCTCACAGTAGGTACCGCATCATTGCTAAGCGTAATCTTAACTTCATAGGGGATTTTACCCAGACCAGTAAAAACATCCTTGTTATTTTGAATAAATTCTGGTTTTCCATCTTCTAAATTTTTAATAGTCAAATCATCAACTTTAAATAGAGAATGAAGGCCTGTTTCCATTTTGGCCACTTCGTTGCAATGTTCTTGTCAAATTGAAGAGATTGCAGCCGCAAATTAGAATTATTCATTTTCAATTTGTAGGTATTTCACCTGACACCATGTACTATGTATAATTAATTAATAATAATACTTTTAGAACAAACGTAGGTGTGCTTTATTATTTATTACAAAATATACCATCTGTCTTGTCTTTATCTAATTAACATGTGTAATCGATTATATTATAATTTATAAATAGAGGTTACAGTCTTAATTTGTAGGATAGCTCATCTTATATTCCCTAGTTGGCTTACATCAATATATTAAACAGAAATCAGCAACCGATATGAAATGCATTAATAATTAGAGCTGCTGTAAGAGTATCTGAATATATAAATTTAGTTTGTCAAGGAAAAAAATAGCATCTACATTACAGCTATCATGTCGTGCGTCACGTCCCGATCTGGACGAGCGCGTGTCTATTTCACAGATTTATTATCCATTTCATTTTCCCTTATTCCGACGTGTCTAGAAATTAAATGAATTTTGACATTCCTACTATGGCTAATACGTTGTGGCCATCTATACGTAGCCACTCTAATACTAGGTAGCCATCAGGGGTTGGCATATAAGACTATAAAACCGACTTGCCTACCTAGTTCCACTCACCAGTACTAGTACCACTGAATGTTATTTAAAGTTTATTTAGTTTCTATTCGGTCATTAAAATGATAATGCAGTATTCTCATGATTTATCACCAATGTTTTAGACTAGCCATGTGCCAAATACATTTTCTTTTCTTTTTTTTATATATTTACAACTGTATTAAAGAAATAAATCTAGTAAATTTGTACAAATGGATATAACGACGTGAAAACACTTGTTGGGAAACCACCCAATGATAGCACTCTAATAATAAGTCTACATTAGAAGATCACGGGGTCATATTCTTTTCAGACGCCACAGAGTGTTATCAGGAATTAAAGAGGAAGCAAGGTTAGAAACGAAAAGGTTGTGATGGTTCTGAAGTTAATTGTGGAAGAATAGGTATCTGGATTGGGCCAAATCTGAAACATAAGGAACATTAAAGTCATTATGGATGATTTTATTTGTAACAAAGTAAGGAGCACTGAGAATTTTGGGTTGTAAGGACTGGATATGAGAGGAGCACTACTCTTATTAAAAAAAAAAACTTTATCTTTAGCTTTACTCGTTTTCCAGAAAAAAAGAGTGGTGGGCAAAGAGACTGAACCGCGTTTTTGGATTTTCTGCCGTCAGTTCTCAACAAGAAAAATTAGTGAGAAGTTACCATATTTATTTTGGTAGATGTATTGGATATTGACAATACACCTTTCATTCTCAACCTCATATATTCCAATTTATCATAATTCCATATTAAACTTTCTAACTTTTCATATTCTCGGCTCAATAAAAATCTTTAAAAAAAGTTTAGAAACCAGGCTAGGGCAGATTAACTTTCCCGCTTCTCTTCGGCAAGTACCAAACTTCAATACTGAGCTCATCGATATTATCGTTTTGCCCAGTTTAGAGACGGATCCGATATCATCGATGAGTTCAGCTTTAAGTTTAAGGACTTTCCCGTTACATTACTCAGTGCTTTTTGTTGCAAATTTTGTTTTAAATCACCTCCCAGAGTTTGGCCATTGAGGTCTTATTCATCCTGTATAGTAGAACTTTAAAGGTTTCCAAATAACCTAGAAAAAAAAAAAAAAAAAAAATAATCCATTTCTAGGTAAGATAGAACCAACTGTATCCCCACATCCCCACATATATTATTACAGCAAGGCTCGAAATCGGTTTTGTACCAAATATAAGCTCATGTCATGCTAAAATACCATGAATGGGGTACCGTTGGATTCAGAATTTCACGGGGGGTTAGCGAATCGTATTCTCCACTTTTGTTTTTCTTTCTAAAATAAATAAAGTCGATACAAACATTTTGCTAGGCTTCAATACTGGAACGGTGGTAGATCTGTAGATCGATACGGGACAAATTGGATCTTGAAGATTTTGATGCGTACAGCAAGATCCTCCGGAACTATCGGATCCTGCGTTTTAAGCCCAAAAACGTACTATTTTCGAGATAACGCAAGGCATAGGGTTCGCATCCACACAACCTTACGTTAATTGTAGTACTGTCATTGAATACATGTCTCATTTCGTCGACTTGAGGTCTCTATGATCGAGAGAGGAGGAGTTTATATTATTTATCGATGGTGTTTTTGATCGGCAAGCCATATCATCGTTAATTTTCACCAAATCTCAAGATTGAGCCACCAATTTCGAAGGCTTCCTTCTCCTTCAGGCGGGCAAAATAGTCCAATCACCTCGAAAATTCAGGCAAACAAGTTATGAAAGAAAACAAACTTTATTTGCGAATAACTGAAAAATTACACACTTTTCCCTGTTATGCCATGATTATATAAAAGATTACTAAATTCCCTACAAAATGAAAAAAAAAATCATCGAAATCGGACAATTTTTAGCAAAGATACAGCTTACTGAAATTTGTAAACATGTTGGTTCCAAACAAAGATGAAGATTTAAATTAATTTTTGTTTCCTTTGTCGATTATATTTATCGATAAAGTAACAATTGATTTCTTTATCTTTTGATACGTTGCATTATTTTCTTTTCTTATTAATTTGGCATTTGATAACAACATGCTGTGCGAATTTTTCGCACGGGCCTACTAATGTTGTAAAAATGCATTGTTTTATCATTTGGAACGAACCGTTATAAACTGCCAAGGATAAAAAAAAAAAATAATTCCTCCGTTTTATAACGTCTTGAATTTACTTGTTTCCATATTATATTGCCATTTTTTCGCTGATCAATGTACTATGCGAATTATTCCCACCGGCCAACTAGTAATATAATAATTATCGATCTTTAGGTTTTTTTTTTCTTTTTATGAGTTATTGAACATTATGTGACTGGAAATATTGTAGGGGCTGATTTCCTTCATAAAATACTGGTGGAAGGTAGAGGCATAAAATGCTCCCTCCCCCCCCCCTCCACCAGTACCGGCGCCTATGTAAAGGAAAGAAAAAGAGATTAACCTTTTAAAATATTCAATTAAAATTATTTTAAATCCAACAATTAATTTATAGTTTTAAGTATTTAGTAATGTTAACATGAGGTAGATTATAGCACTAGTTAAATAAATAAATAGTAAACTCACCAGTGAGTTCTAAGACACAAAGAGGGTCAGTTATTGGGACTACAGTCATTAGATCCCTCAAAGTGAATGGTCCAGGAGGATGGATCCTGTCTGAGCGTAACGTACCTGAATTGAGGATGACGAGGTCAGCCCCTGTAGCTGCCAAAATAACATCACACACCTGTTAAAGAGCATTCTGTCTTAATGTTAACATTCGCAGCCTAAAATTTAAGATAGCATCAAAATACTATTATAATTTTATTTAAATTTGAAGCGACAAAACTTGAAAAATACAAATAACTGAATAACCCCTATGCTTGAATTATATATAATGACAAACACTATAATATAATAACACTATTGAAATAGTAAACTTTTTTATTGATCTATTTTTATTTCTTTATTGAGTACTATAACAATCTGTCTCTTGGACATTGGTTGTAGTGAGGTAGGATGACATTCACACTATATGTACAAAAAAATAAAATAAATAGAACAAAATAATAATCAAAAGTATATACAATAGATAATAAAATAAATAACCTAAAAAATAAGAAAATTAAAACTAAGAAAAAAAAATACATATACAATCAGGCGAGTGAACTCCAGGAGAACCCTGCGCTACTCTCCCAACCGCATCACTGGTACTAAAACCAGCGGAGATTGGAAAATAGTAAACTAAAACTTCTTTAGTTGCTAAGGTGATTTATAACTCTAGATCGTATTTGAATAACGGAGCCGTCAGACAAGATTGTAGCAAGGAAAGCACTACTAAAAAGTGCTGTTGCCTTTCTGCTTTGCCGTTTGCTATATTTTTAATTGCGTTTATTTATTTATTTTTTAAATTATTTCTGTTAAAAATGAAAACATTTTAAACCAATTAAATAGCAGTAACAAGTGACAAAAATATATCTAAAGGTATTTATAATCTCAATGATACTTTTTTTTTGTTTAGAACTTGTTTATTGAGAAATATTACAAACTGACTCAATTAAAGACATTTATAACAGTGTTCAGAAAGCACATTCACACTCTTTGTACAAGAAATAAAAATAAATTCAACAGCAAAATAATATAAATAAATAACTAAAACTTGATGTATATAAAAAGATTTTCCTTTCCCCCTTTTCGTGAAAGGAATGCCAGGGCTTATACAAAGGTAGGAAAGGGGGGGGGGGCTTCAACCCGAAAGCTGTTTTTTCATATATATAACGATAATTACTTTGGAAAAATAGAAATATACTAACTGGCCTTCCTAGTCCTGCCGTAAATATTGTCACAGATTTTAACAAAAAAATTAATTTTTCAAAAGCTTTATTAGAAAATAAAATGTATATCAATGGAGAGTGAAACAAAAAAGAAATTACTCAAAATCTGCCCCTTTTGCTTTGACACGGGCATTTAAGCAGACCTCTTTCACCCTTAAAAGAAGGCCCACAAACTTTATTATCTGGGCGTAGAACTTCGTCCTCCTGCTCCCTGTTCGCCCCTGCGACATTCTGCGGAACATTTGGCAATGCGGGAAAGACATCATCTATCGAAACTGTCTTTCCCAATAGTACACCTACTGTGTCTGGCCATTCGACTTTTACATATTTCTTTTCGCCGCCTCCCGCAGCACCCACAGACATCACAGAGGCACCAACAGCCTCCTAAGCATGTCCTCCGGTCCTCAGAACCGTTGTTAGGGCCATTCAATTCTCTTTACTCGAGACCATGTATATCACACGCATGATTAAAGCAAATTATTTAAAGGAGAGTGAGCCAGTACATAAATAAATAAAAACTAAGCAGGAGAGACATATATGCCAATTCAATTATTTAAGAATAAGTAACCAATCTCTGCTGGCTTTAGTATCAGTGACGCGGTTGGGAGAGTAGCGCAGGGTTCTCCTGGAGTTCCCTCGCCTGATTGTATATAGGTATGCATGTGTTTTTGTTTTTTTTTCTTAGTTTTAATTTTCTTATTTTTTAGGTTATTTTATTTTATTATCTATTGTATATACTTTTGATTATTATTTTGTTCTATTTTTTTTTTTTTTTTGTACATATAGTGTGAATGTCATCCTACCTCACTATAACCAATGTCCAAGAGACAGATTGTTATAATACTCAATAAAGAAATTAAAAAAAAAAAGAAGAAGTTAAAATATAAAATCAATAGAATCCAAGTTATACTGTAGAAAATTAATCAATAAGTTAAAATCTATCTTAAAACTAGGCTAAAATATAAAATGAAGTTCTATAGAATATTTAATAGTTGACCGTTGCATTATAAAGGAAGGAGACGGTCCGGGGTAGCGGTCACAAATAGGCTAAATAGTGGTAAAACTATTTTATTAAAAGGCAACGTTTCTTAATTCTATTTTATATGTATATGTACATATGTATAGAGTAAATTATATTATTGTATATATATATAATTTAATATTTCATAGATATAGTATTTTTTCCCTAGTATCCATCCATATCTTCAAATTTTAGATACTGTAATTCTCTAAGTTTTTCCCCATCAACCGAACAAGACAACAAATTACCCAATACCTGCCCTTACCCTTGTTTTACAGTTCTAAGTGAAACCCCTAACTGAACACACCTGTAAGTCTCTAATTTTATTCTTCTATTTTTATTTGCTTATTTATTTAATTTTTTGGTTTTCTTTTTTCCTTTTCTTTCTCCACACCCCTTTATGTCTATTATTTCATACTATATCATTTTTCTTTTTCCTTCAATCTCTCTAGTAGTAGATCTGTAGAAGTATATTCACATTTGCATATATTATATATTACACTAAAATAATTGTTACCATCTATTTACTTCAGTTTAGGATCTTGTTACTTAGCTTACTCTGTTTATATTTTAACGTACTTACTGTTTATAATTTTGTGTCTAAATATTATGTAACTTCCACAATTCTATATCTTTTTGTATCTTGTCCGTTCTAGTCCTGAAGAAGATCTGCAAAGTCGGGTCGAAACGTTGGCTTTTAACAAAATAGTTTTACCACTATTTAGTCTATCTATGACCGCTACCACCGACCATTTCCTTCCTTTAAAATCTATAGAACCTGTTGCTTAAAATTAAGTTAAAATATATCAAATAAATAATGGTAAAAAGTTAAAATATATAATATCAATTTCTATAAAGTTCATTCTTTCGCGCTTTTCACATTAATTTATTGAGTAAATTATTTTCTTCATATTACAATAATGGTTAATTTTAATTTAATGGTTTATTTTGATATAATTATATCATGTTGTTATATACATTTTTTTAAATATATCTCCAATAATTCGTCATTGCTAATCTCGGCAAAGCTTTAACAATTTTTTAAAGAAAAAATCTGAACAATCTCACATCGTATGGCTACTTGGTGTTTAAAACAAAGTGTAATAAAGAAAATTTGTTCTAGTTAACGAAGCTGTAAATGAAAATCACTTATGATACAGTATAAGAAAAACACATATATATAAACAGATTCATATTTATCTTTTTCTGTTCAACAAAAGAAGTGAGCTTTAAAAAAAATAAAATAATCTTTTCTGTTGCATTGAAACCTGCTATAACTCTCTAAGGTTCCTTACATAATACACATTATATCCTATAAATAAATTAGGAAAATGAATAAAAATATACCCAGTTCCCAAGGTTGGTTTCCCCTAGGCGAATCCTTTCAAATCTGCCATCAAGTGCAACAGAGAACACGCCTAAAACTTCATCTAACCTTTCCTCAATTATAGCTGTAAAAAAGAATAAGGGAAGGAATAGAAACAAAATCATATTAAAATACATACATTTTAAGACAATAACAGTGCTATATATATTAAACATATTAAAATAAAAGTAACTAATAGCTCATCTCTTTATTGTCAAAAATAAACACGTTATCTACAACGAAAAATATCAGCATTGTAGCATAATTAGTAATAATAATAACTGTAAAATATTTCAATGCAGAAAGTAATTGATAATGGCCTAGATCATATATGTCTACTCAATTTTAATGCAGGAATTTTTTTTACTATACTTATCTTAACATTAATTGCTAACCTAAATGTAATAATGAATCATTAGATTATAAGCGAAGGTTACCATGGCATTGATTAGCCGACCGCGCTCTATCATTTTTAACTCAAGCCGCTCTCCCTCCCTCGTTCGAAAAAAACCGCCACGCGGTAAGTGGGATGTGAGCGATCAAGTGCCACTTCTGATCAGGAACTAAAATTAAAGCCAGTAAATATTGTTTTATGATAATAATAATTAAAAGCTTGCTAGAGATTCGAAATTTATCGACCATTGACGGAAGAGTAAATGTAAAGAACCTGCAAACATTCTGGTAAAATTTATAAGTAATCCACTGCTAATTGCAAAGAGATTTCGTATTTGTAGGTAATAGAGGACAGTTGACAACAATAACTATACAAGATAATTATTTAATCAGAAATCCTTAATTGTGAAAAATAAATGTAACAACTTTAAAAACGTTATTAAACTTTAATGATTTGGTTCATATATAAACAAAATAAACTTGAAAATAAAAGTATCATAATTTAAATGTTTGCCGACCGAATAACTATTCCAAAGGATAAAAAATGCATATATGTAAAAAAAACTCACAAGTATATCTATTCAATTCTTCTTTTAATTTAGGGTCGTCTATATATTCTTCAGTAACAGCAATCTCCTCGACAATTACTTGAATGTCTTTTGAGTCAGAAAAGTCAAGGGTAAGCTTAGAAAAATTGAAGAAGTCTGTTCCGCTCTTCACAATCAGCTTACCATTGACCTACAATCAATAGTAACCATATTCAAATAGGACTTTACGGACTTGACGATTTAATTAAATTCAATATGTAAAAATTATTAATGGAACTTAATAACTTTCACGGATAAACAAAATGATGCATCTAATACCTTTTCAACTGCATAGATATGATCGTGGCCTCCTAATATGAGGTCAATTTCGTTGCAACACTCAGCCAGCTTAACATCATTTGGCATTCTCATGTGTGTAAGAGCGATCACATAATCACATCCCTATAATAAAATGAAATGAAAAATTTCTTTATAATTCTGGGAAAAGGTCCCTTCAGAATAAAATTGACATAACACTACACAGTGGGCAGGACAGTGTGGCCGGATTCATTGATATAATTACAAAATAAGTGGAAGAATAGCACGAATGCAAATACAATTTTTACAGCAACTAAAATAACAAAACTGCATTAAAAAATAAATATACGAACAAATAAATAATATAAGCTAAATTAAAATGATAATAATAATAAGTATGAGGCACTAGCGGAACCAGGAATTAATTTTTTTTTTTTTGGGGGGGGCTTCAGCACGAAAGATTTTCTTTTCATATACATATAACGATAATTAATTTGAAAAAAAAAGAAAGAACTTAACTACCTATATGAAATGGTGTTTAAGTGGTTCCTGAAGTCCTATTAAATGTAATTACAGGAACAAGAATACTTTAACAGGTAGTTTTTAATATTTTTTTTTGTAAAACTTGGGTATATTTTACCATTTTGGGGGGGCTTCAGCCATGGACCATTTGAACTGCAGGCTCTGTTGTATGCAGGATGGCACCGAGTTAATCGTAAGATTTCTGTGCGAATCAGTCAGTTCAGCAAAATTAGTATCTTTGAGTTCAAAATATTTTTCTAGATCTAGAAATTCACGGCATAGTTAAAGCTGCCCGTCTACCGTTCTTAAAAGTTTCGGGGCATTTTCGCACAGTAATCTGACGAACTGTAATTTTGGAGAAAAATATTTAAACTGATATAAAATCTAATCATCTGATAAGATTAAAAAGCTGATCCTGGAATGTTCTGCCTTGCTGTGAAATGTATAATAACAGAAATCCTGATCCCTGATAATGATGTTTTGGTACTAGGAATTTATTTTTGGAACCAGCTTACATAAATAGTTGGTTTATTTTATAGATTTAGGTTTTAAAGATTTTACTATAGATTTAGGTTTATGGTAAGAAGGCTGCAAAAGGGAGATGCGATTTTTCGCATGTCAATTGGCAACAAAATATCTTTGATCTAATATAACTATCATTCTACCAGCGTTGCATGTTTTAACGGGTTACTGAAATTTAAATTGAAAGACTTGGTTGGGAAATTTCCATTTATCCGAAAATGAAAAAGAAAGTAACCTTTTTTTTTTTTTTTTTTTTTTGTTCTTCCCTACCTCGCCTTTTAGGCTATACGGGATTTTCCCGGGCCGGGGGGTGAGGGCGGGGAAATTTAAAATCCCCTCCGGCACCGGGACGCGAACTCGTACTTTTTATATCATCTGTAATCTCTGTTATCCGGTTGCCAGGCAACTAGCGGTGCTGTTACACACGCTTTAGCCTATTCGGCCACCCCGCCCGTGAGAATGCATTGAGCCATGGAAATGCAAATCGAAATGCCGCAAGATGACGTACAACTGAATAAAAAAAATTATAATGCATACCACTTTGCAATTGGCCCCCCGGGCCCCGACTTTTTTTAACTTTTTGAATTAAATCAATATCAGGGTCGACTAATATGTTTTGGGGGGCGCTTTTTATGAAAATGATATCGAATTCGAGATTGGGCCCCCCGGGCCTCGACTTTTTTTAACTTTTCGGATTAAATCAATATCAGGGTCGACTATTATGTTTTGGGGGGCGCTTTTTATGAAAATAATATCGAATTTTAGATTGGGCCCCCCGGACCCCGACTTTTTTTAACTTTTTGGATTAAATCGATATCAGCTTCGACTAATATGTTTTTGGGGGCGCTTTTTAAGAAAATGATATCGAATTTGAGATTGGGCCCCCCGGGCCCCGACTTTTTTTAACTTTTTGGATTTAATCAATATCAGGGTCGACTAATATGTTTTGGGGGGGGGCGCTTTTTAAGAAAATGATATCGAACCTGAGATTGGGCCCCCCGGACCCCGACTTTTTTTAACTTTTTGGATTAAATCGATATCAGGGTTGACTATTATGTTTTGGGGAGCGCTTTTTATGATAATGATATCGAATTCGGGATTGGGTCCCCCGGGACCGACTTTTTTTAACTTTTTGATTTAAATCGATATAAGGGTCGATTAATATGTTTTGGAGAGCGCTTTTTATGAAAATGATATCGAATTCGAGATTGGGCCCCCCGGGCCTCGACTTTTTTTAACTTTTCGGATTAAATCAATATCAGGGTCGACTATTATGTTTTGGGGGGCGCTTTTTATGAAAATAATATCGAATTCGGGATTGGGCCCCCCGGGACCGACATAAAAGTCAAGTGGCGTAGAAAAAGGAAAAATGGTCCCCAAAGATGATTAAATCCAAAATATTTTAATAATTCTTTATTTTATCGATTTACATTAATATCGATACTATTTAAAAAAACTATACCCCCATAAGATAACAATGGACTTAAATATGGAAGAAATATTAAATATTCTACTCCTGTAATTTTTATAATGAAATACTCGATTACTTTGAAAAGTACTCAGAGTAAAATATTGCTGAGTAGGTTTGAAAATAGAAAGTACTCACTCATGAGTCAATCATGAGGTCGAGTAGTGATTAAAGTACTCGATACTCGAACCGGGCGAGTATTTGAGTAAATTACTCTGTAATTGTACTTTTTACTCAGAGTACAATTTTGCCCATCTCTAGTATCAAGGACCAGTGCGCTATAGCCAGACATACAGGCTTGAGTGGAGAATCTGACCATTGCCAGAACTCCAATATATTCTCAGGTCTCTGGACCACTGCCGCTTCAACCTTCGAGGAGGATTGTTGCACTTGAGGATTGTAGCAATTATATATATATATATATATATATATGTATTATTTAATTTATAATTATTTTAGTGGCACGGCAGTGTGTAACATGTAAATGTAATACTTCATATTTACTCTCATAACTGTTAAAGATAAAATATTTAATAGAATTAAATTCAACATAAATAGACAAAATTTGCAACTGCAATTTCCGAGTAAGTTAGAATAGATATCCAAGAAACCTTAGACTCGCCGCAGTGTACTTCGCTTGCAATCAAGTCATTTTTTGGCCCCTCAGTCCAGGGCTATGAGAGAGGTAACTTTGTCAAAATATTTTCATCATCCAAGTCGCGATAATTATCCATAATGACAAGAATCCAACCTGGCATACTTCATGAAGCCTCTTCATCTATACTTTTTTAACGAAACAAATTTATTCCAAATAAAATAATAAAGTGCTGTTATTCCAAGATATAGCAGATATGTATGAGTAGAAATAAGAAAGTGGTTTTCAGGGATCAAAATAATTTAATTAATTAATTTTCAGAATTCAAAGCCTTCAAAGATCTTAAAAAAAACAATAATAATTTCATGAATGAATAATAATCGCCATACTTATATTTTACATGGACTTAAATGGCAATAATTAAATTACTTACATCATTTTTTAGTTGAGCCCCTATTTTATTCCCTGACTCAACAAAATCATGAAATATAAGCTCATCAGGATTTATAGTTGCCAATGTATCAAGCCATTCTCTCTCAACAAGCCCAATCTAAAACAAATGAATCCATAATACACACAAACAAACATACATATACAATATATATATATATATATATATATATATATATATATATATATATATATATATATATATATATAGGGAGAGAGAGAGATCTGAAATAACACGCAAGACTGTCGTATAAAGACTGAATTATTCTTCTCCTTGCTCCTCAATATACACGGTGTCCCGTAAGGAGACGGAAATTTTCGAAAGGGTGATAAAAGATCAACAAAAAAAAAATAATAAAAAAAAAAAATAATCGCCCAATCCCAGCAGAAAAGTAGAAAATTAAAGATTTGTGTTTTTTTAAGTGTCACGTTTTTTGTTGAATATGATAACAAGAGTTGAAGAGATAACAAAAAAAAGCACTTGATTCAAGTAATTAAACATTGCTCCACAGTAAACTTTACAAAATTTACTTCAAACGAAATTAGAGTTTGCCATTGTTAACCCATTAAAAAAGGATTAGCGGAAAAACTTAGCAAAGTTCGGTTTAAAAAAAATTCAAAAAATCATCCTTCGACTGTATAACAGTTACACCACTTTTAGGAAAACCTTAGTGTTTAATAAGCTTTAATTTCATATTAATTAACTTGAGGTTTATAGGGAAAAATTTTGAGATTCACCTCAAATTGCATAAAGGAATGAAGTAATTTTCTATACAGTCACCTAAATGTGCCCTTGTTTTCGGCAACAATGACTACAATTAACTATTGCAAAGTTATTATTTCTAGTTTCTCCGTGATATGGTGTTTATTGTAATACAAATAATTGACTAAAAATACATTTTAATTATAAAAATATAAAATTTAAAAATAATGGTTTTTTAAATATTTTTCATGTACGGTGGTAATGATGTTTTTCTGCCTATTCATAATATTTAGGTTTTCACGAAAATAATTGAAGAAATCAGTATATTTGTTTATTTTAAACGTAAATATTAATAAAAAAATTAGATTTTTCAATGATAAATACAGATCAATTCCTGTGACTGAGAGAGATCAAGGAGAAAAAGTCATAACCACTTTACATGAAAAATCGTTATTTTTAATTTATTTTTATTTTTAAAAATAAAATGTGTTTTTAGGCAATTATGATTTTTACAATACATCCTATATCACCGACAAACGAGAAATAAAAGATTTGCAACAGTTAATTGTAGTAATTTTTGCTTAAACCACGGGTTCTTTTAGATGACTAGATAGAAAATAAAATCATTTCTTTACCCAATTTGAGGTGAATCTCAACATTCTTCCTAATAAACCTAAACATAATTAATATTTACTTAAAGCTAATTAAAAGTTAAAAGTTTTCCTAAAAGTGGGGTAACTGTAATACACTTGAAAGATGAAAAAAGAATCACAAATAATTGATGATTTTTTTTTTTTTTTAACGGAGCTTTGCTGAATTTTGCCGCTTAATATTCTTCTTTAAATGGTTTTAATATTGGCAAACTTTTCTTTCGTTTGAAGTAATTTTTTTTCTAGTTTACTGTGGAGCTATGTTTCAGTTAGCTATGTTCAATGCTTTTTTTCATTTATCGCATCCAATTTAACAAAAAATCTGACTCGCTTAAAAAACCACAAATCTTTAATTTCCTATTTTTCTGTTGGAAACTGGGCAATTTTTTATATAAACTTTTTTGTAGATCTTGATCCTACTCACCCTCTTAAAAATTTCTCTCTACTTACGGGACTCCCTGTATACATATATCTAACAGCTGATTATTCTTGCAGGGTAGGAAAAATATGCTATTAAAGAATAAATAGGAATATTTATGGATAGGAATATGGGTAGTAATATATCATATAGTAATACGTAATTTAGTTTCTCTAGAATTTTTTTTTGTTTTTTTTATAGAATCCGTGTAAATGATAATTTATTTGACCTCGGGAAATTTTATAAAAATTGTTTTTAAAAAAATAATAAAATTAAAGGTTTATGTGATCTTGTTAATATAATTGTGAATTGTAAATATTTTGTAAAATTTAATAATTTGTGAAAAATTCTCTGGTACGCACTACCTCCCTCCATTGGCGCATATTTTCAATTTTGATTGGAGGAGTGGTGGACGAAAAATTTAAACAATGGCTAGAGAATCAACATAAGTATTATGAAACGAACAAATACAATATTGAATATTAATATTTTCTTCAGTTAGTTTTTGGATCGCTTGATGAGATGTCAATAGAAAATTTTTTTTTTCTCTTTCTACCTGTATCTCTCTAAGTGATTTAGTTTTTTCTGCTCTAATAATGCCTGAATTGGCGACACTTTGGTAACTTAACTCTTCACCTGTATGTTAGAGCTCATTGCTTTAGAGTTTGGATTGTTACATTCATAATGTCTCTTTTCGAGCTTGTTGCTTATTTTTATAATGTTCAATGTTTAAAATTAATTTATTTATATTTTGTGTTTTGGTTTAAGCTAAATATCTCCTTTTAAAAGCGAGATTGATAAAAAAACGGTTATATTTAACCTTAAAGAACTTACAATTATCTAACATTTTTTCTAAACCCAACAGGGAGTGAATTATCAAGCTTTCAAGATGGGTAAAATTTTGAAAATTCGCAAAAAAAAAACATATATAATTTTTTGTTTTTAATTAATTATCTGTTTTTATAGGTGACATAGCTAAAATTTTTAAATTAAATATTAAAGCACACACAATTTACTAAATTTTGTATAAAAAGCATATAACTCTAAACTAAACAATTTAAATAATTTAAATTTTTTATCAGTAATTACTATTTTTCTTGTTACTTTTTAATGAAATTTATTATATTACATTTTTAAATAATTAATATTATCCAAATTACATACTTTTGTGTTCTTACGATTTTTTACCATCTCAAGACTGTTCGACTTCTTCACAATAATATGGAGGGTCAAACAAGGAGATAGTTTAAGCCCATTGCTATTTCTAGTTACATTGGTGACCATGAGAATCGGCTCACCATGAGTTTTGTCATTATTTCGTTACCAGCAGCTAAAAATCTGCAAATATGTTTACCATACTGGATTTATACGTAGTGGGACATATACTATTTTTAGGAGACCACGAATAAAGGGAGAAATAACAACGATTGTTTTAAAACAATCTGTAATATAAAATAAATCAAATGAACAATCTTTCAAACAAAAATAAAACGCCTCAAATATTTTTTTTAAAGATGTAATCAGAGTCTCTAATACCTGGTGTTGGCTCCCCTTGCTTGAATAACGGCCTATACTCTCGTATTGTTTTTAGTAACATTCCCACATATATTATTACAGCAAGGCTCGAAATCGGTTTTGTACCAAATATAAGCTCATGTCATGCTAAAATACCATGAATGGGGTACCGTTGGATTCAGAATTTCACGGGGAGTTAGCGAATCGTATTCTTCACTTTTGTTTTTCTATCTAAAATAAATAAAGTCGATACAAACATTTTGCTAGGCTTCAATACTGAAACGGTGGTAGATTTGTAGATCGATACGGGACAAATTGGATCTTGAAGATTTTGAAGCGTACAGCAATCCTCCGGAACTATCGGATCCTGCGTTTTAAGCCCAAAAACGAACTATTTTCGAGATAACGCAAGGCAGATGGTTAGCATCCACACAACCTTACGTTAATTGTAGTACTGCCATTCAATACATGTCTCATTTCGTCGACTTGAGGTCTCTATCCTATCGAGAGAGGAGGATTTTATATTATTTATCGATGGTGTTTTTGATCGGCAAGCCATTCATCGTTAATTTTTCACCAAATCTCAAGATTGAGCCACCAATTTCGAAGGCTTCCTTCTCCTTCAGGCGGGCAAAATAGTCAAATCACCTCGAAAATTCAGGCAAACAAGTTATGAAAGAAAACAAACTTTATTTGCGAATAACTGAAAAATTACACACTTTTCCCGCATGCCTATGATTTTATAAAAGATTACTAAATTCCCTACAAAATGAAAAAAAAAATCATCGAAATCGGACAATTTTTAGCAAAGATACAGCTTACTGAAATTTGTAAACATGTTGGTTCCAAACAAAGATGAAGATTTAAATTAATTTTTGTTTCCTTTAACAATTTATTTCTTTATCTTTTGATAGGTTGCATTTTCTTATTGATTTGGCATTTGATAACAATATGCTGTGCGAATTTTTCGCACGGGCCTACTAGTAATATATAAGAATCATACATAAGAAGAAAATTAGTTAGGGCCCTACGAATAAATAGTTACACTATTTACTTTTTATTAGCATACGTAAATATAAAGAAAATTATTGTTAGCTTAATTTACATGAATTTAATCAAGAGTGCAATTTCTATTTTTCAAATAAATAAATAAAAGTCTTGATGTGACTTTCCTTGATAAAATAAAAAAAAAATCGTGATATGATATTTGAAAAAAGGTAATACATCATTTATATGAAATTTGCGATTTGTTTGTAATTGGTAAAATGTATTATCATAAATGAATTCCTTATCGTTGTTGTAATCTAGATGGTTACAGGGATGCGAAAATATCTTGAAACATTAGAAAAATGAAATGTGAAAATAAATAGAGAAAATAAAGACAGAGAGACAATATTCTTATAAATAATTTATTGATTTCTACTTACAAGACCAATCCTCTTTCCACATTTATCAATGATATGAAAAGTCTTGCCGTCTCCAAGTGGTTTTCCTGTCTCATTATCCACAACATTTGACATCAGCCAAGGAAAAGTGGTCTCAGATATTCTCTGTGTTAAGACCTCTAGTCCAAAATCTTTAACAATTAAAATATTTTATTATTGTGTTATTTATTCATTTTTGGAGGGGGGGGAGTTTTTCAAAATCATTTTTCTTTAGATGGAGATAGCCCCAAAACATTGAATTAAGATTTTGATTGGTTTTAAGGTCGAATTTTAAGACATATTAAGGACAATGAACAACATTAAACAGAACATGACATATTTACAGAATACAATAAACAATAGAAAAATAAATTAATAGGAAAAAAATAGAAAATAAAAGTATTAACGTCTTAGAATTCTCAGTCCAGTGGTGTCCTTAGGGTAGAATCCTCGGTCCCATACTCAGCATAATTTATACAGCTAACATTCCAACTCATTTTAACACCTTCATTCCCACATATGTAAACGTCATATGTTATCAATAATAATGATCCATTGATTGCATCCCAAACTCTTCACATATTACAAAACTTGAAAATGGAGGATTAAAATGAACTCCAACAAATTCCATAAAATTACCTTTGCTCTTCGTTGTAAACCTATAATTTATTATCCTACAGTATCCATCAATAATACTTCTCTTGACCCTGTTAAACAGATCCGATACCAAAGACTCCTAGTCTAATGAATCCATCTGGACAAACGGCTTACTTAGAATCCTCATTATAGTATTATATCAGACCTCATTAATTATTGATTAGTCTGATTTTTATCTCATATCACATTATAATTAGAGTTTATTATTATATTTAATACGGCCAAGTTAGAAGAAAAATAAAAAGAAGAATAAGGAAAGTAAATTTTATTCTGAGATATTCAGTCCACTAAGAATAATTATAATGTATAATTTGTTGGAATTTGTCTGAAATAAAGAGATGATCAAGAATTAATTAGATTACATGGTTATTGAGCCTAGGAATTAATATGATAGAAAGGCTCAAGTTAACATTTTAATTATAGATATTGTAAATAAGTTTGAATGTGTTTTTATTTATTATTATTTTATTATTATTTTTTTATTTAATTTTGTATCATGTTTGATTTATTCTGTTACTCCAAGTTTTATTTTATTTTATTTTCTTATAATCTTGTTGTTCTTTATTGTATATATGGTATGATTGTACTTCATTCATCATAAATACTCAAAGCCCTTAATTGAGGCAAAATGTATTTTTTTTCTCAATAAAAAAATTGTTATACAAAAAAAAAATTATAGATACATTTATATGAGTGTGTTTAGATACAAACAATAGATAATATATAGGTATCTAAATGATTGACATCTCTAAAACACAAAAACATTATCCTTACATTTATTCGAAAGGTTGATTGCAAAGGAGATGGAAAAATAAATGGCATTAAAATGAGATTCAGGACGAGGATTTTCGTACGGAAGCAGGTAGGGAATTCCAGAACAAGATAGAAAGGGTTTTCGATTGTAAAGGGTCTGAAAAAGCACCTAGAAGATATTGCCGTCTATGAGAAAGGATTTTTTAAAGGAAAAAGTTTTATGAGAAGAAATAAACAGGTTTGTGGGCTGGGATCTCGTGTTGAACGAATAAACAGATCAAGAAGATAAGCGGATTTTTCGGATTTAACGGTTCTGAAAAAGCACCTGGAATATATTGCCTTCGGAAAACTGTATAGAGCAACTTAAACTCGGCATACTAACTGGAGATGTGGGAGCGCCTTGGAGCTCTTACGATGAATCTAATGAAGCAAATCACCAATCTTTCCAATCTCACCTCAAGCCTTCCAGACAGTCCACCATATACAAGGTAGCCATAATCGTGAGAAAAAATTAGAGAGGAAACTAGGGGCTTATAGGTCTTTAGGGACATTGAATCACGGAATCTCAGGAACAATTTTAGGGTTGCAATATATCATCACATAATTAGTATTGATCGAAAATTACTGGAAGGTTTCTAATGGAAGTGCGGAAGCAAATATGTAGTCCCTTTAGGTACTATGAGTAAGAGATAAAAAAGAATGGAGTTGATGAGACCCTTGAAACCAATGAGAATGGCCTTAGTCTTCACCACGGTCAACTTTAAATTATTGATGGCTGCCCAAGTGTTTAAACTGTCCATATTTTTCTGTAGCCGTTGGATCGCCTCAAGCATTTCGGTGGGACGAAAGGAAAGCTAGATTTGAAGGTTGTCAGCAAAAAGGTGGTATTCAGAATGATGGATTGAATCAGGAAGATCGTTGATGTAGATGCAGAGAAGAGTTGGAGAGAGTGAGGGACACCGCAAGTTAGTATGAGGGTGGAGGGAGGAATTTTATTAGGAATGATAGCTGTTTGGGACCTGTGATGGAAGAAGTGAAACCACTTTGGGACGCTTTTTGATATGGAAAGCTTTTGAAGTTTGGAAAGGAGGATTTCATGATTAACGGAATCGGCTTTTTAATAAACAAAGAGGACCAGAAAAGAAATTTTCTGTTTGTCTATGGAGAATTAAAGGACTTGGGTGATTTTCATCAAAGCAAATTGGTTGGAGAACTGGGATCCGAATCCAGACTGGAGGGGACTAAGGAGAGCATTTTGCTCAAGGAAGGTATTAAGCTTTGAATGGACTAGTCTTTCAAGAGGTTGGAGAGAATGGAATAATGGAGGTCTGAAATCAGAACCTTTAGAGAGAACCGGAACTTTGCACGTTTGGCGGACTATAACATTCTTCTAATCTAATGAAAAACTGGAATTCGGAAGGATAAAATGGTAAATATGTAGTAGGACAGGAAATATGACAGGGAGACATAGTTTGATTAATGTTAAACACAGGAATTAGATCCGGATCATAGTCATTCGTTCTGAATTTGAGGACAGAGGAGAGTAGGTGCTGTAGGGAGATATTTGTAAAATAGAATTTTGTAGGATCAAAGGAAGTTTTTGGAAAACAGTATGAAGAGGAGGGTTGTATAGAGATAAGATTGGAAAAATAGAAATTCATTTTATCAGGAGAGACAGGGTAGGAGATAAAGGTTTTGGACTTCATTTCGGAGTGATTTTCGAGGATTTTCCATTTGGACTTGTGATCTGGTGCTTGTGACAGGAAAATATGGAAGAATTGAGCCTTAGCACATCACAGAGTTGCCCCTCCTCCCTCCTCCGCCAGGCCGATGGCGCATAAACCTTTCCTATCCCCTCCCAAGATATTTTATGCCTCTCTTCTTCTTAAAAACAGTGCAAATGAAAGTAGAATTTGAATATTCCTAGATTATACACCATTACACATCCTGTGGTCTGTACCATGATTCCAATTGTCTTTTGATTTGAAAATTCACAACCCCTTCGAAATGTGGCCCCCTCAAAATTTGAGAACCCCTTCAAAAAGTGTCCCCTCATTAATCTTGATGGCGCAATATGCGCCATAAAACCCACTTCTGGGCATCGCTGGCGCGTCGTAGATTGGGTAAGGTTTCGGAGTATCTTGAAAGAGATGTAATTTCCTGGATTACGTATGCGTCTGAAGCGCCTTCTAGCAGCGTCTCTTCTCTTCACCAACTCTCCGATTTCAGGATTAATCCAGGAAGCAGCAGGGCGTCTGAAGGTAGTGGTCTTTAGGGGTGCGTGTTTGTTCAGGAATAGGGGTAAATTGGAATAAAAATATTCCACTATTTCATCAATGGAGTAATAGGAGTAGATGGGATCTAAGAATCGGGCAAGTGATTCGAGGAAAGGGTTTAGTTTTTAAGAGGTAAATGAGCCTAGATCCCTAATCCTTAAGGTAGAAGATTATATCTCTAATGCTTGCGCTGTTTTTATTGTTTGGGATTTTCATATTCCACCAATTAATGTAAACAACAAATTAAGTGTATATAATGTGAGATAACGTGAGATGTACGCGCTCAGCCCGATATGCAAATTGCGCCCTAAATCACAACTTGATCGATCATCGATGCCCGATTTTTAAGATACAGAAAAAAATAAAATCATCGAAACCATAAATAAAATTTCCTTAAATGAGCCAAAAAAATGTTTAAATAATAAAAGCCAACCCAGATTAATAGATCTTTTGCTGAAATTACAAATGAAATTGTAACGCTGTTCAAAAGAAAAACATCGGCATTCAAACAAATTCACGATTTAACTTTGGCCTCTCACCCCCAATCACCATCCCCCACCACCGGCCATCTCTATAGCACAACAAAAGCATTCCCCTAGTACTGATCAAATTCGAGAAATCGGGCAGACCTTTCCAAGTAGCTTGATACACTTACTGGAGGGAGGTACTGACGCTGTCGTTGTGACTCTGACATGGAGAAACGAATCTCGATAAGAAGCTGTGAAGAGGATACCCATTCTATGTATAAGAACAGAAGGGATAGGAAGGTTAAATAATAAGAAGTCCAATTTATCTCACAAGTTGTGTCTGCAAAAAAATTAAACGAATGAACGAGAAGACTGATGCGATTATAAAAAAAAAATCATCTTATACAGCCATAATGAATTGCCAAAAGGTCGCTCAACAATAGATGACTTAGTAACATTGTAAGCGGAGATTCAATATGTTTTTGTTTACGGGCAACAAATGATTGCGGTCTTATTTGATATGCTCAAGGCATTTGACAATATTAATTACATGACATGTTCATTCTAAATAACTTGAGATCTATTGGAATTCGTGGACAAATGCTCTTATACACTAGCGGATCCAGGATTTAATTTTGGAGGAGGCATCAGCCCGAAAGCTTTTTTCTTTCATATATATAACGATTATTACCTTGAAAACAAAGAAAGATACTAACTATCTATACGAAATGGTGTTTAAGTGATTTTTGAAGTCCTATTAAATGTAATTACACGAACAATAATACTTTAAGAGCGGAACCAAGAAGAAACAGAAAGATCAAGAAAAGGACCTTCCTTCAATTGTGAGACGCTGCCGCAACAACAATATACACCTCAAAATCCTGAACCCCACACTCATCCTACTACACAAATATTGCCTAATCCTCAACAATTCCATCAACAGCTGATTCCTCACACTCCTCCGCCATCAAATACCGCAGTTCATTAACAGATCTCATCAGTTCCCTTACATCTTTCCTATATCCTTACTTAAATTAAATATTATTTTGTAAATATTATTATTAATGTATAGCCACACAGGCATTTTCTCAGTCTCTATAATTTGTTCTAAAGAGACAACAGTACCAAGTTAATAAAAATATTTCCATTTCATTTCATCTTTCCTCTCTGAATTCATCTCATTTCAATCTCTTTTTACTCCTTTCATATCACTGTTCACAAATCTTGTGTCACATTTTATTCCTCTCCAAAAATTCTTAAATTATTTCCAATAAACCTATATGCATTCTCCTTAGGAATGCGAATGATGTTACAAATCATACAGACGGGCTATTTGCTTTATTACTAGACAAGAACATTGGCGTGGCACTAATTACTCAAACTCGACTAACCACTGAACACTCTTCAAACACCATAATACTTGACATATCGTAAAGGCCACCCTGACGGAAGAGCACATTCCGGTACTGCTGTCATTCTACATCAATCCCAATCCCATCATCTACTCCCATTACCTACAAATGAATTCCTACAATCCACAGCTATCGTAATCAAAACCTCCTCCTTTCCATATCCAATGCCCACTTCAGTTCTCACCTCGACTCCTTAGGACATCACTTTATCTAGGGTGCAGACTTAAATGTCAAGCACCAACAATGGGGTTCCAGAAATATAAATTCTTGTGGTCGAACATTGCTGTCTGCACTCAATTCCCACCGTTTTCACCTCCAATTCCCCAACTCTCCTACCTACTGGCCCATAGATCCTAAACGTAATCCCGATAACCTTGATTTCTTCATTCACAGTGCCTTAGGTTCCCTCAAATGTTTTATTACACACCCAAACGAACTTTCCTCTGACCATAGTCCACTAATTCTTATTGTTTCACTTGAACCCGTTCCCAAACCTTCTCCACCGTCATTTATTAGGGGCCCAGTTAACTGGGACCTTTTCCGCCAAATCATCTCCGATAAAATTGATCTTAACATATCCCTCAAAACTCCCGATGATCTTGATAGTGCCGTAAATTCCTTTACTACCACAATCCAACAAGCTGCTTGGAGTGCCTCCTTCGCAGAAATTCTTAAGAATAGTAATTCACCTCAACATCTCCTTGAACTAATCCATACTGCGATGTACTAGATCACTATGGCAATTCACCACACAAAAAACTAAAGTGAACTAGCCTGTTATAGATCCAAATCCTTTAACTTTTAACTATTCTTCCTCACAGTTCGTAACAACTCCCTTTGGAAAATTACTAAAAAAAAAATCTAAAACCTCACCGGATTTCCTAATCCCTCTGGAGAGATGACGTCTCCTGGACAGCATCTGACGAAGATAAAGCTGAGGAGTTCGCCAGATACCTCTCTAGTAATTAATCATCCGGAATCCCATCCCATCCACATCGAAACAGTAAAGGAATTCCTTACATCACCTATTCCAATATCTCTGTCCCATAAAGCTATAAACCCTTTGTAAATCTCCTGGATATGATCATCTTACCTATCAGATCCTTCGGCAACTTCCATCTAGAGCAGTCATATTCCTCACATTTATCTACGATTGCATGCTAAGTACCAACAACTTTCTTCTGTTATGGAAACATTCCACTGCCGTCCTTTTCCTAAAACGAAACAAACCTCCCAACATCCTACAGATCCAATTAGTCTACTCACATTTCTTTCAAAATCTTTGAAAACATCCTTGAAACGAATCCTACACCCATTATAGAATCCAAAAATGTTTCCTCCCCTCAGTTCTGTTTTCGCTCACAGCATTCTACTGTTCAAAAAGGACTCCGAGTTGTTGATCATATTTCATTAGCCCAAGAGAACAAACAATACTGTTCGGGTGCAATTCTGGACACAAGACAGGCTTTTGACTATAATCTACGATTTGTCAAATCCTACTTTCACTTGTAATTTTTTTAAGAAGAGGAGAGAAATGCAATTTTGGTGGTTCGTGCACCATTAATCTTGGGGGAGATGGGCATCACTGCGCTGGATTGTTCTTCAAGTTTAAAATCCATTTAGCTCAGTCCATGCACCCTATTCCTCCGATCCTACGTCGCTAACCGCTTCTTTCCAGTTCGCTATAGAACAGAATTTCCCAATATCTAACCACTTAAAGCCGATGTTCCCCAAGGCAGCGTATTGGATCTCGTACTTTACATCCTTTTTACTGCTGACAATGTATTTATTTCGAAATGAAAAGCTTTAATAAATATATAAATACATTAGTCTGGGGTCTGAAATAATCTGGAATGGATTCGTAATGGGAGATCAATATTTTCATACGTCAATAAAATGAAATATCACTTACCAAATTCATGATTACCAAAAACAGCACAACTGGTGCCAACCTCGTTCAGTACAGGTATCATTTGGGCTCCTTTGGTTGTTGTACTTACTGTCAAATATAAATGATTTTATTCAATTATCATTAAATAAACTAACAACGTTATCACTATTTTGATACACAATAATTCTTTTGAGAAATAAAAATATCGTCGTCCTCCATATGAAACGGCTTTAAGTTTTCACATTGAGATCGACGATGAATTATTTTGATTTTGGGTTATTTTATTTATACCTAAATCGTATTGTATCAATAATTAATTAACATCACTTACTAAATGAAAAAGATCTGGTCTCTTGGATCACACATAGTGTTGCCCAAACGCAAGACCAAGACGAGACCGAGGCGGTCTTGGTCTTGGTCTTGCGTCAACGAACCTTGGTCTTGGTTTTGGTCTTGCGCACTTAGCCTAGGTCTTGCACAAGAGTCTTGCAGTTAACTATCACCTTATAACTATTTATTAATATGGTACTTTAAATCTTAGCAAAACGCTACAAAATAACTACAATTTTATTGACATAAACTTTGTAAAGTACAACTAAATCAATAAAATTAAGAATAAAGAAAGAAAGTGATAACCCTCCTCCATGCTTCCGGTTGCATGGAACGAAAGAGTTGTAGAGTAAAGACAATTATTATTATATTACAATTACATTGTTCCCAATGATTTTAATTAAAAATCTATTGTGTCCATTTACAAGACTTTCCTATATATTTTTTTAAAAAATACAACTTTAAATGTGTCTATTAGAAAAAAAAAGTTGAAATAGATTAATTTTCCTAAAAATCGATCGGTGAAATCATTAGGATACGATTCCTTGGATGAAACAAACAATGTGAACGGGCAAGTGAACCACCATTAAAATCAACGTATAAAAACAATATATACTATAACAGCTAAAACTGGTCCGATTCAGATGATTTTTTTGTCGGAAATTTAAAGATCTTTCAAAAAATAGACTTCAAAACAGGCCCAGAAACGTTTAGATTCGTTTGAAACCGATAGGTGTATATGTGGTGAGTTAGCTCCCCAAAACAATTTTGTTTTCTTTATAACTTTTTTTCTTGAATTGTCTCGAGAATTCACTAAAAATAGGAAAATTTAAAGAAAGATTTTAAGTAGAAAATTAGAAGAAAGTTTCATTAAAATCGTTAGAGCCGTATAATGTTAATTTTAAACTTCATGAAACATAAATACATATGTTTACACAATTAATTGATTAATGTTTTTAGCACATATGTTAGATTCGCACATAAAATTCATAAAAGCTTTTATTAGTAGTTTTTTCAGTTCTGCGCATGCGCTTGATTTGAATACCCACATTTCACGTCGTGTCCCACAGATTTACTATTTTTTTAGTAGAATAAGTGCTCAGTTTTACTTTAAAAAAAAAAAAACTAGTTAAGCAGACATCAAAACAACAACAATGGACTAACACCACAGTGAGTAGTGTTGTTATTTACTGTGTACTATTACAGACAGTGCATTTAGTGGTTTAGCGTCTATAGGCTTAATCTCTATAGCCATAACAGCTGACGGCTCCCCACTCCAGTTGTGGCCCAGCCACGTAACTGACTGGTCCACAGTCGGCGGTTCATCCATTATAATAACACACAGACGTAGTTTTATTTATTTATTTTTTTCCCTTTCTTTTTTTTTTTTTATATGCGATATTACTACCAAGTAATGTCAACTAAGAGGTCCCATTCAGTTGGCTCTACCCCTCGTAATTCACCGCCTAAACAGAAAACACGTCGTAGTAAGCGATTAACACCCCCCGAAACTCCTCCAGCGAACACTCAAGTATCTGTATCTCAACCACTGCCAAGTACGTCTTCACAAGAAATGGAATCTCCATTTTTTACACCTAATCCATATCAGGTGCTTGAAAATGACAGGGAAGAAATGGAAGATGCACCTATACCCCGAGAACCACGCCCACCTCCTATCTTTGTCAAAAATTTGAGAAATTTCCAGTTGTTGTGTACTCAACTTAATAAAATCTGCCCAGGTAGCTATACATGCCTAAACAGAATAAATGATACAAAAATAATACCGGCCACACCTGAAGCGTACCAAAAAATCGTAAAATATTTAACAGACACAAATGCGGACTTTCACATATACCAGTTGAAGTAGGAAAGAGCACTACGAGTTGTAATAAGAAATTTACACTCCTCAACCCCAACAGAAGTGATTAAAGAAGAGTTAACGGCGTTAGGGTTCAAAATACGTCAGATAACCAATGTATTAAAAGAAAATAAAGAACAACCAGGTGTAAAAAATAAAATCCCATTGCCCTTATTTTTCGTCGATCTAGAGCCATCGCCTGGGATCGAAAAAATATACGATGTGAATAGAATTTTCTACACCAGCGTAAAGGTCGAAAAACCGTACCCAAAAAGAGAGTTCATCCAGTGCCATAATTGCCAAGCATATGGCCACACCAAGTCTCATTGCCCTCCAAACCAATCCATCTCCAATATCCAATTTAGTTCCTTCCTCATTTCCTTAGGACATCATTTCATCTTGGGTGCAGACTTAAACGCCAAGCATCAAAAATAGGGTTCAAGAACCACGAATTCTCGTGGTCGAACATTGCTGTCTGTACTCAATTCCCAAAATTTTACCCTTCTTCCACCCAACTCACCTACCTACTGGCCCACTGATCCTAACCGTAATCCCGATATCCTCGATTTCTTTATCCATAATGGTTTAGGTGCTCTCAACCATTCCGTTGCCCGTCTAGACGAGCTTTCCTCAGACCACAGCCCATTAATACTCCAAGTATCACTAGCTCCTATTCCTAAACCCTCTCCTCCGTCCTTCATCAGAGGCCCAGTTAACTGGAAACTCTTTCATTAAATCCTCTCCGATAAAATTGACCTCAGAGTAACCCTGAAAACCTCCGGAGGCCTTGACAATGCAGTACATTCCTTCACTACCAAAATTCAAGAAGCAGTCTGGACTGCTTCCCCCCCTGATCACTCCTCAAAAATCCTTAAGAAACATAATTTACCTCAACACCTCCTTGACCTAATCCACATAAAACGCCGTGCCAGATTATTATGGCAACGTACCAGACATCCAGCCGACCGCCACTCCTACAATTATCATTGTAAAAAATTAAAACAAGAATTAGCCACCTTCAGATCCCAATCATTCAATTCCTACCTCACCACACTCTCTGCTCATGATAATTCCCTTTGGAATATCACCAGAAAAATCCTCAAATCCCATCATATTTCCCACCCTCTTCGACGAAATGATGGCTCCTGGGCAGCATCTGATGAAGATAAAGCCGAGGAATTTGCCAAACACCTTTCCTATACTTTCGCTCCTCATCCAGAATCCCATCCCAGCCACACAGTAAAAGTAGAAGAATCCCTCTCAATACCTATCCCACTCTCCTTACCACCTAAAGCTGTTAATCCCTCTGAGGTCAAATACCTTTTACGGAAAATCACTCCTCGCAAATCTCCTGGATATGACCTTCTAACCCCACAGATCCTTCGACAACTTCCATCTAAAGCCATCATATTTCTTACATATATATACAATTGCATCCTACGAACTACCCACTTCCCTCTTTTATGGAAACATTCCACCATCGTCCTCTTCTTGAAACCAGGCAAACCTTCCAACAATACAGCATCCTATAGACCAATTAGCCTTCTCCCAATCCTCTCAAAAATTTTTGAAAAGATCCTACTGAAACGAATCCTACCTATAATTGAATCCTATAACCTTCCTACTCATCAATTCGGATTTCGTTCCCAACATTCCACTGTCCAACAAGGACTCCGAGTTGTTGACCATATATCCTCAACCCTAGAAAGCAAGCAGTATTGCTCAGGTGCATTTCTGGACATAGCGCAAGCTTTTGACTGGGTATGGCACGCCGGATTACTCTTCAAGCTTAAAATCCACCTACCACAGTCCTTATACCTAGTACTCCGATCCTATCTTTCCGACCGCTCCTTTCGAGTTCGCTGTGGCACCGAATTCTCCGACTGTTACTCAATTGAGGCTGGCGTTCCTCAAGGTAGCATCTTGGGCCCCATCCTTTACATTCTCTTTACCGCTGATATTCCTGTCCATCCCGATACCCTCCTGGCAACTTTCGCTGATGACACTGCTATCCTTTCTTCCAACTCAGATCCTGAAACAGCGTCCGCAAACTTACAAAGGCACCTCTTCCTGATTGAACACTGGTGTAAGAAATGGCGCATCAAGGTAAACGAATCTAAATGTAAACACATTACCTTCACCCTTCGGCGTAATACCTGCCCACCAGTTTATTTTAACTCCATCCAGCTTCCTTTCTCAGATACAGTCCGGTATCTTGGCTTTCTCTTAGACAGACGACTAACATGGAATCCACATACTAGACTTAAAAGACAGGAACTTAACAGACGATATGGCCAGCTATATAGACTACTGAATAGAAAATCTAAACTTTATGGTGAAAACAAATTACTGATCTACAAGACAATACTGAAACCCATCTGGACTTACGGACTAGAACTATGGGGAACAGCCAAATTTTCTAACATCAAACGCATTCAATCCTTTCAGTCTAAAGTCATCCGTACAATAGTCAATGCTCCCTTCTATGTAACCAATAAAACCCTACACCATGACCTTAATATCCCATTTATTCTTGATCTTATCCCAGCCAAATTTTCCAAATTTCACCAGAACCTTTCTCATCACCCAAATCCCGTTGTACAATCCCTATCAAGCACCACCCATCCCTACAATCCCCTTCGTAGGTTAAAGCGGCAGTGGCCACGAGACCTTTTGTAAATATGGATATTTTGGAGTTCTAGCAATGGCCAGATTCTCCACTCAAGTCATGAGTGTCTGTGGCTGTAGCGCTCTTACTCATCCTCCGCTGGTTTAAAATACCAGTGAAGTGGCTGAGGGAGAAGCGTAGGGATCTCCTAAGCCTCCCTTTTCCCTCTACATGTGGAGGGGACAGGATTGGTTCAGAGATCACCTGGCAAATTGTAAATAATGTATATAGGTATGTTTTATATAAGGTGTT